TAAATCTATAATTAGTGGCATTTTTATAAATGGATACTCATAAATAATATTTTTATAAATTTACACACAAAAAATAGTATTTTTACAATTGTGCCGTTTTCTTATCATCGAAAATAAAATAAACAATTTGTAATTATGGTCAGTTTGGAGTTTTAGTGAATTTTGTAATGGGCTCATAAGTTGAATATATTAGGGCCCATCAAGAGGAAAATATCTTTTTTATTTGTTTTTGGGAAAATATATTAGGGCCCATCATATCACTGTCTTCAGTCTCAGAGAGAGAGAGAAGATTCAAAAACACAGAACAGAGCTCAGATCATCGCGCCATTAGAAGAGAAAAACGCAGAGAAGGATTGCTTCGGAAGCTTTGAGATCGAAGATGAATGAGTTTCCTTCTTCGATCGATAGAGAAGTAGCTTCTTCTCTTCTTCTCCTTTCCTCTGGGCCTTCTTCAAGGTATCGCAATATATGGCGATTTCGGTTTTGAATCCCAAATCATCAAGTTCCGAATCCAAAAATGCTTCTCTCTTCATAATTGGTTTTTATAGTGATAGATCTGGATCGGAAGGAAAAACCGTATCGGTGAGTGAAAGTTATGGTCAAGGAAGCTTGAGCTTGAGCTTGAGCTTCGTCTCTTCGGAAACTAGATCGTGCGAGTCTGTTCTCTCCAACAATGTTTCGTATCGGAAGAGATCTGAGTATGATTTCATGAATTTCAAGGTTCGTTATCATCATCAATCTCGGTTTTCGAATTTTTTCTCTTCTTCTTCTTAATCTTCCCCTGTTCTGGAGAATTTGAAACTTCCAAGATGATTTCGTGGATTCGAATCGATTTTCAGAGGTTGCTTTGTTAGCGGTATTTCGTAATTTGAAAATCTGGATTTATGTTTGATTTTAGCAGAAACTGGAATTTGATTTTTTCTCGATGAACTTTTGAATTTCGTCTTGGAGAAAAGCTAATGTTGTTTCGATTCTTACTCGCATTTTTGGGGGATTTGATTTGAAATTTGCCATGACTGAATCCTATTTGCAGATTGCTAAAAAAAGCCGTACAAATGTGATATGGAGCTCGGTTGATTCGAAGCCAACAAATTCAAAGAATCATGAGCTTGATGATAATCTCTCTAAATGCTCCAGTAACTCCAAAGAAGAATCATGTTTGTCTACGGGTTCGAGTGAGATCTCAAGCACAGCAAGCAGAATCAAAACCATAAGTCATGAGAAACCACACAGAGAATCAAAGAAGAGAGAAAGTCACAGGTCGAGTTCCATTCGTCGTAGAGCAGTAAAGATCTTGGAGTTTCTCTCCAATGGCTACTCTTCTGAAGTCAAAATCCGTCAAGTGCTTGGTGATAGTGCAGATACAAGCAAAGCTCTAAGAATGTACATACTCTGCCTCTCACTCTCATACACACAGACACTGTTCCTTACAAATTCTCACACGCAAACAGAACACAGAAACCAAGAGCTTGTGACATAGATGCACACATTATTAAGGTTTTTGCATGATTGTTCATATATCCTGATGCAGGCTGTTGAAGATGGGTAATGTGAAGAGATCTGGCGCAGGAGGAAAGCATGAACCCTTTGTTTACAAGGTAATACATTTGGATTCTCATCTCCTTCCTTGTGACAAAATTAATCACAGACACAAATGCATAGAGACAACACAAGCATTTCAGGGGAATTTTGTTTCATCAAATGAATATGCTTCTCTATGTTTTTATGTAGATTGCGTGAGAAACTAAGCTGGTGGTGCTTGAGACAGGTCAGAGTTTATCGTCCTTGTCTTGCCTTCTGTTTATATACGTTTATAAGTTGGTCCTGATATAGGTTATTATAATGATAACTAGAACGGAGATATATATATGATCTAAAACGTAATGTATAGAATTAAGTAGAAGCTTATATGAATCGAGGAACAAGGGTGGTTCCTTCTTAGTATAGTCAAGGCGTCTGCATTATCCCATCTCTGTTGAGTTGTTTTTTGGCTATTTGTCCGAATGCTATATATATTATACAAGTCTAGAACCAATTAAACAACAAACACTATTTCAGCTAATCACAAAGATCATTTACACATGCTTTGTTTCATAATCCACGCACTCAATCATGCCGGTCCATTCCAAACACTACATTAGTTCAATCCAATTTAGTGGACCTATGCAGAAATACAAGAAATATGCTTTTATTTTGTGATACCTGCATCAATGAATCAATCATCTAAAATTACCCCCTGTGTTCTAAATCTCTGGATTTGACGACAAAGGATAAATCTTTACCGAGTCATTATTGTTTTCTCGGCTTTTCATTAATCTCTCTATGCTGAAACTCTGTTTTATTTGTTTTCTACCAATTGATGCCAAATCAAGGTTCACTTATTGCTACAACCAGAAAAAAAATAGATAAAAGAAAACAGTATTGTGTTTGTATGGTGAAATGAGTTTCAGCTCTCACAGTTTGGGTTGTCCGCATCCCCTGAAAGACCCGTGAAGAGGTTGAGACTTTCTGAAACCAACAATGTCTTCGATTTCAACAGATGGTGGTGGGACTTCTTCTTTGTCAGTAGCCATTTCCTTCAAATGCTGGCTCCCGTATACTCTTATGCTCAGCGATTTCTTCCGTGCTGCTCCAACCTTTATATATTCGTCGAAGAAATCTATCAACTCTTGCTTCTGAAGCTGCCTCAGCGCAGCAACCTGTCCACAAGGAAACCCCGTTCTCTCATCAATTAGATCACTCCTAAACAACTTCACACTAACTTGAACTAATCGAAGAAGTTATTAAATTATTCGAGGAGGTATCTTATGAGTGGGTTATGTGTGAATCAACCATCCGAGGCGGTTTTCTTAGTTTAGAAGATAGGAGGAAGGTGTTTTTGTACCTCTGCCTCTTTACGGTTGAATTTGAGTGTTCCACTTTGAATCTCTCGCCAGTAAAACCGGGATTCCTCCTTCAGGTTCTTGTGTTTTTCAAGCTTCATGTCTATCAAAGCTGTTACATTGCTCTTGAGGAAGAGTAACTCATATCAGTTAATAACAATCTTGTTGAGGATCATATTGCATAGCAAGATTACTTGAGATATATAACTAAATGGTTGACCCATCATCTCACCTTGAATTCCTCATCACTCATCTCGCGAAGTTTAGTCTCCAAGTTCTTCAGTAATGACTCCACCCTCGAATCAATATGCCCAGGACCCTGTTAAAACCATAAGTCCCCGAGGCAATTATAAAAAAGAGCAATAAGGGCTATCAACGAAATTCGAACTGATGGAAATGGCAGGAGGGCTTCGTACCTTAACTGATGACTGGATAATGAACTGTACACCATAGATGCCAGAATCGTTCCTACGTTGCAGAAAAGCGCGATTAAACAGAATTCAGAGGGTAGAATTGAGTTAAATTACAAATGCGAGGAAACATTAAATATACCTCTGAGCAAGAGCAGTGATGTAACCAAGTTGCTCAACCGTTCTAAGTTGGTGAAAGGTGGCTTGCTTTGCAACGAGACCAAATAGCTGAACTTTAATATTCATGGTAAAGTCATCTCTATGAACCTGTTCGTGGCAGCCAAAGTTTCAGTTAGCCAAAAAAAAAGGTAACAAGAAACCTACACAAAGAAGCTCCAAAGAACATGTAAAACTGGTCGATACTAAGAATAAATTCAAACGCCATCTTCTAAATCTGAACAAGGAAATACCTGAATATAGTGTACAAGAGCAGAATTTTCATCACTGGGGTTTGAGCCATCTTGGTGGTAGAAATACTTCATTCCTTCTTCGAGCTTTACAACTCTATTAGTCAGGTGCTGGGATGGGAACAAAGGTCGGCAAATCGGTTTTGGACCATTAAAAAGAACATCTTCAATATGCTTGACCATTGACTCAGCTTCGTTACTCTCCACATTACCTGAAATGAAGTATATAGATTGTCGGAACAACAACAAAAAGAAGAATACGAAGACAAGACAGAAATATCACATGAAGATGTTCAATACCTGCTATATAACACTCAAAGAACGTCCTTGATAACAACATTGGGACAAACTTAGCTACGTCTTCAGCTTCCAAATGAGAAAGGACTTCAAGTTCCTCTGTCCAAGGCCAGGTCTGATCTTGTAATATCAGTGAGCAGTAATACATTGTTTGGTGATATGGCTGACGAAATTTGTAATTTTGATACTCCTTTGTGACAGTTTCCTAGTAAAGGATACAGAAACAGAATAATACAGATTCAATAAACCTCGTAGAGAGGACGTCGTCCAAACATTAAATTAAGTTATAAAAGGAGACGATGCCTGATATGGTTACCTTGATAACAGCAAACCTGTCAGGTTTCACTTCGAATTTTGCTATCTTTCCAACAACAGTTTCCAGCAAGATCCTCAATTTGTGATTATAACCAAGAAGGGTTAACTGGGAACAAAAACAGTTGGTCAGAGAAAGAAAAACACAGGAAAAGTCGGGCGAATGCATGTGGTGAAGATGAGATAAGTGCCAAACTCACCTCGAACCCATTGTCCGAAAGGCTCACTCCATAGTAAAGACCAGCAACTTGGGCATAATAAGCTGAACACATAAGGGGTAAAGAGTCATGGGACAGTTTTCATGACATAATATCAAAATAGAAGCTTTGTTTCTTTACTCTTGTTTTTACACTTTATTTTACATATATTCATACAAATTTTCATTTGTCTTCAAGACATTCAACAAAGATGCAGAACAGAGTAGAAAACTTGAAAGCAGTACTGACATTGTCAAAAGCTACAAGAAATACCCTATACACATCATGTCATATGGAACTACGTTACCAATTTCAGAAGCTTGGTTCCACATAGTTGGCATAGAGTTCTCTTGAATAATGCCTCGAGAAAAATACTCTAGTTGAAAGAAAAATGCCAAAGGATGTATTGATCAACTCTTACCGTATTCATTTAAATAGTCCATCAGCAAGCGCGTAAAAATATCCGTAAGAACTGCTGCGTCAGGAGAACTGACAGCGAGTGGGCAGTTGAAATCCATCTTCACGTATGCCTTTGGTTTCGAAAACATCGTATCTGGCTTGTACCACAATCTTGAGAAAGGCGAGTTCCTCAACAAAACCGGGACGGTTTCCTGTTCCAAAACTTGATCACATAAAATGACCGCTTCATACATTAAAATTTTAAAAGATATTTGTAACTTGTGGTGAGACTGAACCTTGTCCTTAGCATTCTTTAGTGACAAATCCGTAGGAATGAAGACATTAGGCGCTGGTAGATGCAAGTTCACATCAGGAGCAGACTGCACCCACTCCTGTAATTATTTTACATAAACCCAATTCAAACAAAATTTGAAATGGAGGAGATAGACACAGAAAATAAATGAATCATTTCCAGTAAGTACATAACAAATCAAATGCAAACCTGAATGGTGGAGCTGGTTATCTTCTCAAGAGAGTAGGCAGTGTTATACCATGGCTCATTCTTGTCAGTTTGTCCTTCAAATTTCTGTGATTCCCAAAAGATTCTACAAAAGCAATGGCATTAGAAAAGATTCTTCGACAATAACTTGGCTATGCCAATGGATTTCAGTGCTTTAACAAAATGTACACTATAATAACATGACGGGAATGGTTAAAGTAAACTGCAAAAAGGCTGACAGAGATATCACGTAATGTGCAATCATATGGTTATAGCAACAAAAGCCTATAATGTCGTCCTTAGCTATAAATCGAACAAATGTAAAATTAACTTAGGTGAAATCCCATGATTTCATCATCAATATAGGCCTTGATTGGTATAGCTTTTTGATAAGCAGTAGCATAATGCAGTATTAGCAGTAAGCAGGTGGAGCAGTATGCTCTGATTAATATACACATTTAGCTGATTGGTTGAGCTGTGAATGATTAGATATAAAATTAAAATAAATTATTTTATTTTA